CTGCTACAATCAGGTTTTAGCTACCGTTCTGCTACAATCAGGTTTTAACTACTGTTCTGCTATATTCAGCTTTTAGCTACAGTTCTGCTACATTCAGATTTTAGCTACCGTTCTGCTACAATAAAGCTTTAGCTACCGTTCTGCTACAATCAGCTTTTAGCTACCATTCTGCTACAATTAGCTTTTAGCTATCCTATTGGATGCTTTTTGCTCGTAGCCACACTTTTACTACTTATAGCTAGCCTTTTGATCTATTTACCTAGCTTTTTGCTACCTTGGGCTTTTACCTAGCCTTTTGCTAATTTCAGCTAGACTTATGCCACATCTAACATGTACTGAATCTATAGCTACCTTTAGCCCTTTGCTACTTTCAGGTCTTCACTATTATAATTGTTCTGATAAAGGATAAGATAAGGTCGCGCTTTCTATAGTTGAAGCTTCGTGCACTCCGCCCATCTTTCGGACGACTGTATGTACATGTTTGCGTTGTATCTCGGTGCAATGCCAATAAAGTTTATTCTGATTCTGATTCACTAGCCTTTCGCTACATTTAGCCTTTAGCTACGGTTTTGTGATTTTTTTAACTAGCCATTTCCTGCTTTTAGTTAGCCGTCTTTTCCTTTAGCCTTTGGTTGGGTTTCGACCGTGTTCTGGTGTAATTTGTACAGTCGGACCTCTCCCGTTCTACAGAACAACTGTTTGAGGACGACAGACCCGCAGGAAGCCGTAGAGGCAGATGGACACCCAGTTGGTCAGCAGCTTCTCCACAGTGAACTCGGTGCGTCGCAGCAGCAGTTTGGGCTGAGCGTTGCTGTTCTGCTGCATCAGATCCTTCAGCAGAACCTCCATCACCTCCGTCAGGTAGGACAAGTTGCTGTGAAGCGCGACAGTGAGCAGAGATGCAAGTGAACACCTGAAACAGAGAAGGACGCACTCAGGTTGTGAAGATCAAGGTTCACATCGATACTCAGTGAAGTATCTACAGATAGGGTAAGAAGATTCTATTAACTCGTCATGTTAATCAGAATCAAGTTTGGGTTTTATTAATAATTTTCTTCTTCCAGGATGATAATGATTAGACAACATGTGTTTTTTAAAACACAGTGTTTTTTAAAACAACAACTTGGTGCACATGTTTGAAGTTATTGTGGATTTTCTTTATTCCACACAAGCTAAAATCTGGTTAAAGGCCTCTCAGCAAGTGTCTCCTGGACCTCAGGCTTCCAGCAGAATTCTGGCTGATATCTGACCAGGCTTCTTCTTGGCTGAATTGGCAGAGTCCGTTTAAGTTGACTGGTTTTCAGGCGTGGACCCGGCTTCTAAGCATAGTCCACAAATGTTCCACTTGGTTGAGGTGGGCGCTCCAGAGTTAGCCCATCTAATCCATTCAGAAACCAGTTCTGATGTTTGGAATCGTCACTCAACAATGTCCAAGCTTCAACCATCTAGTGGTGTATTTGAGGTAAAGTTGAAGGAGTTGGAGGTAGTCCTTCATAGCATGATGCTACCACCACTAGTTCAATAGGTTTGAAAGATATACTCAGATTCCTCCAAACATACTTCGGCCATTGTGTCCAAACACCACAATCCTCATCTCATCTGACCATCAAAGTGTCCTCCAGAAGACACTTGGTTTGTCCAAGTGAAGAGTTTCAGTCCAGCTTGGAGGTTTCCAGTCTTCTTTCATCGTCCTCTCAGTCCACAGGGATAAAACTGACTATAACGTAGAGAGGACGCTGGTGTTCCAGAAGTTTCCAGTTCATGACAGGCTTGAGCCTCGGTGGTTCCTGAACATCTGAACCAAAGTCCTTTCATCTGAAGGGAACCGTTGGGTCTCCCTCCAGATCTTGGTAAAATGGTGACCTATCCAGTTAACTTGTACTTGCGTAAAAGGTCTTGGATTGTGAAAATCTAAAAGACACTCTAGAACCTTACAATTCTTGTTTTTAAAAATCGTTAAGGTTGTAAAATCATTCCACTCTGGGAAAGAACGGTTCAAATAAATCATTAAACTCTCAAAATTAATTTGACTTCATGCCTGTGATGAGTGGAAGGAAACTTCTGTCTGCAAATGTATAAATATCAGGTTTAAAATGTACAAGAAGAACAACAAAAAGAAGCGTAAAAGAGGAAATGACGAGAGAGAGTGGACGACATGTAGAGCTAGGCTCACGAGAATCTGCTGGTTTGGACGTGACTCATCAGGAAAAGCTTACTTGTCTTTGATGGTGAAACTTTTCTGCTCCTCCAAAGCGTGCACCATGGTGGTGAGGAAGAGCTGGTCCTGGATCAGCTGCGACAAACCCTGACAGCACTCATCCAGCTGAACCGTCTGCACATCCTGATCCCAGTCCGGATGAAATGACAGGAAAAAAACGAAACAATTGAAACGATTTAAAAAGCTTCCAAACAGACGGAAGCTGCAAGACGTTACCTGACCGATGTCTTTGACGCACAGCTTGATTAAAGATTCACTCTGGAAAGAAACAAAAACAGTTATACCATATCCATCTATTTGTACAGGTTTATTTTTTTTTACTTGAGCTTCACCTCAGGAAAAAAGATCCTGGAAGCAAAGTGCTTGTAGTCCAGGAAGGGAATCGCTCCGACGTTCTCCATCAGATCGGCTTTCTCTGTCTGCAAATCCACAAAACCTGTGGAGGAAACCTACATGAAGCGATTCATAATTTACTGATGTTTAATGCCCCTCTTCAGCATCAGGTGACCAGTAAACCGTCGTCTCACACACCGTTTTGTGAAGTCTATTTATGTGGGTCCAAACTAAGAAAGTGAAGCTTGTCAAGTCTTGTTACGTACAATGTTTATGATGTGTCCTCAGTGCGTTCATCGAGTCTGTGTTGGGTTGAAAGGCGAAACATTTACAGCGGTAAGCATGACGCATGCTACATTGCTGTGGTGTAACCGATGTATCATTTTTGTTGTTGTGGCATTTTGTTCTTTAGACATTGCTGCAGTGTATTTGTGGTGTTCGCCGGCACCTTCTTGTTGCAATTCTTCCATGTCTGAATGTTGGTTTCTCTCGGCATGTTGCCGTGGTCTCAGACTCCATCTTCTGGGTCCTTTTCTCTGACGCTTTAACTTTGGCGAATCTCAGTCTGGGAATTTGTTTTCTGATTATCTTGTTTTCAAGTCAAGTCAAAACTAAACCTTGAAAACTGATTTCTTCCAGGTCTGTGTTGGTCTTATATCAGCCAATCAATATAAATATAGACAAAGCAATGCCAAAAACTTCCATCCATCCATCTGCCACTTGTTCAAAAGTCAGCAGTTTGAGCAGGGAGGTACGGACATCTCTTTCCACAACCACCACTTCCAAGGTGTTCCCAAGGTGGCCAGCCAAGAGAAAGTCTCTCCAGCTTTTCCTGGGTCCTCTCCCAGTTGCACATACGCAGGTGTTCAAGAAGCATCCTTACCAGAAGGCTGAACCACCTCACCTGGATCCTCTGGATGTGGACGTGACTTGTCCCTGTATCATCTATGTCAATGTGTGTCTAATTAACCCATTTGCGTTCTCTGAACAGCTGATTGGCTGGAAGCGGTTTAAAAGGACCAAGCTCCGCCTGCTGGACGAGCGAGGGAGGCCAGAGGAGACGGTGTTCTGATGGTTGTTGGTTTTGCTCTCCAGCCTTGCTCCTGCTCCTGCCAGAGACCCCTGTGGTTGTTGCACCTGTTACTGTTTTGTTGTTGAGCTGCATGTTGTTGGGACTGGGAGTTACCGGCCTGGTTTAAGTTTATGGTTTTTGGTTGTAGGGTTAGACCCTGGATCATTGGGCGAGGGGAGCAGCCTGAATCTGATGGGTCAACTGCTGGCTGGTTCGGGGCTTCTTCCTGTCCTTTGTTTGTTTTGACCAGGGCTCCCAGTCTACATTTATGTTCAGATGATTAGTTAAAAATTAAAGTTTTGTCTAAAACCATACTATCGTCTGGGCTTCATATGTTGTGCATCCTGCCATTTACTCCTGGACTTATCAGGACCATAACAGTGGAGGAGCTGCAGCTCAACTCTGAGTCTCTCCAGGATAAGTGAACTTTCTCAGTCTATGTCTAAGAAAGTCCAACTACCCTGCAGAGAACACTTATGACTATCTGTATCCGAGATGTCCTTTTGATTGCTACCCAGAGTTTGAGACCACAAGTGAGGGTGGAAATGTAGACTGACCGGCAAACTGAAAGCTTCACCTTACAGCTCAGCTCCCTCTTCATCACAACGGACCGGCACAGAGTTCACAATACTGTGAAATCCACACTGAAGCAGGGGTCTTGTCTTGACGCTCTCATTTTTGTAGCCAGTCTGAGCACCTACACACCCTCCCAACTCGCTAGCAGACTGTCAATCACACTGTAACATGACCCATCTTTCAGCCTCATGAAACTGAAAGTATTCTAAAAAAATATATATACCTGAACATACAGCAGCAAGGTATGTAAGCATAGGTAAGGACTATGTTAATCTACAATAATCTACACCTGAATTTTTTAAAATGCATTTTGTATTTTTTATTAAGGAAAACATTCCATTCGTTTACATGGAGGGGCGGGGCTTAAGAAAGTCTCCTGCAGCCAGCCTACAGGGGGCGCTCATCCTCTGTGGCTTTAACTTCTAGCTTCCGGACCCGTTTCTAATTACGATACATCTCACTGGAATGGACTCAGCATGCGACAGTAAAAAACTGATGATTATCTTGTGCCACCACCTACAGTCAACAACACGGTGTTTATGTAGCAGCAGCCTCAATGTGAACAATGTTGTATTCATGTGGTTCATGGGCCAAGAACACAAAGGACTATACCAAAGATAGACAACACCGAGACAGACAAGAAAAACAAACGCCTATTTCACATAAAAGCACCACAAGTACGCCACAATACATGAGTTAGCGTAGCGTAGCACGAGATTATGAAAAGGGCTGTTTTATGTGACTTTTCAAAGCTGCTAAGTTTTTCCAGCACCACTGCTGATTCTTCGAGAACCTGGCATTGCTGCACATCAGGCTACGCTAGAGCTGCAGTTCCTAAAGTTTTCCGTTCACGACCCTTAAAGCAAAAATCAGATACGTTTGAGCCCAACTTCTGCAGGTAGATGTAAACAAACACGACTTAAATGTCATTTAACGAACAGCCGCACGAACCATCGCATTCATTTTTTATCACTTGTAATTGTTTTCATCTCGCTGTTAAATGGGTTCCAACCCCAGCGTTGCATTAGAGCATTTATTTATTTATTTTACAGCTACGCTGCTCATCATGACACAGGCTGTGGCTCATTTGCACATCACAAAGTGAAAAATGAAGAAGTGAAAATGTCTGAGTGTCTTTTTGCTGAGACTCAGAGCCTGAGGTCAGCTCCTCCAAAGACCCGGAGCCGATGAAAACATGCAGCCGTGGCACAACTCCAGTAAAACTACTTGAACTTTACAGTCACCTGACTTCATGCAACGAGTTTAACACGAAACAATTAAAAAAAGGAACCAGGTCAGAACAGCAGAGATCGTAAAACAGAACTAGACGAGTGTGAGAGTCATCTATCAACTAGTCTATGATTTGTTTTTAAATTAGTTTCTATGGGGATAGTGCTGAGAGATAAATCAAACAGCATAAAGCTTTTAAAAAATAAATAAGCTAACCAAACAATGGACAGATAATTCAATTACTTTTTTAAAAATCTAGATGAATTAAAAACAAGCGGTACGCTGATGACTCCTGACTCTGAGGGATTTCAGTAATGAATGTTTGTAGTTTTGGAGACGAGTGTTTTTCTGGACTGGAACTCGGGAATACAAGTAAACCTTGATGTTTTTGGTGCAACGCATTGAAGTGGGTAATGGAAGAAAAGAGGCCGTTTGTTTCTCGTGTCCGAGGCGGCACAGAGTGACGGATCCTGGCGAGCAAAGGGAGTAATTTTATCCACCACCAGGAGCAAAGGAAGAGGATGGCCAATGGTGGCCTTGGCACCCATTTATTCATCTTCAACCACCCCAACAATCACCCCAATCATCTGAAGAAACTGTACTTTTGAGCAATACAGTAGTCCCTCATTTATCGCGGGGTTTGGGCCCACGCCCCCCCGCGATAAGTGAAAAACCGTGAAGTAGGAATACAGTAGTTCAAGTAAACTTTATTGTCATTACCATCTCATGTGGTACATGAGATGGAACAAAATTATGTACACAAGTAGTAGCAGTACCATATTTTTCGGACTATAAGGCGAAATATCAATGCACGGGTCTGTTTTCATACATAAGGCACACCGAGGTCATAAGGTGCATTAAGCAAAACAAAACAGTCAGATAAGTCAAATTGTATTCAACTCATTCACAATAACCACATAAAATCGGTTCGAGGTCAGTAAGCACAACCAGAATTAATACATAAGATGCGCCTGATTATCAGAGTCAGAGTTTCTTTATTGTTGTTGAAATTGTGTAAACAGGGTCCCAGTTACATCCAACAATTATATATAATGTAATGTAATGTTATAATGCAAAAGAAAAACAGTAATAAGATCTAAGATATGAACTAAGAAAAACAACTGAATAATATGCTAAGCACTAATAGCATAAAAAAAATTAAAACAATACGCCGAATAGCAGCACATTATAAGACTCGCGGTCGATTTTTGAGAAAATTAAAGAATTATAAGTGCGTCTTATAGTCCGAAAAATATGGTAGTAGTTTATTTTAGTATTTACTGCAGTAGTAGTAAGTAGTACTTTATTTTAGGCATTTAAAACCCTTCCCATACTCTTGCAATGTCCCCAACATGTTTCTAAACTCTCTAAAAGCGTGTCATGATCTCAGCTCTCTGCCTCCGGCTGCGCTCTGCCACCTGCCAGCGCTCTTGGCCACGCCCACTTCTACGCTGCAGAGAGGCGATCTGACATGCTGCAGGAGGAAGCGTCTTCTGCAGCAGGGGCTAAATAATGTCAAATAATTTATTTTAAATAAAAAATTCCATGCCAATAAATATAACATCTCTTTGAAACGTTTTTTTAAAATCTTTAAATCTTCCGTCTCTTCAGATCACTCATAACTGTCTTGCAGCAGAGTTTAATTTGATTTTAAAAGTCGTGGTAAAGATTTGAGGCTCTGGTGGTTTCAGATCCCCACCAGGGTCAGGGAAACGTCTCTACAGGTGAAAAGAACTCACAAGTTCACGCGACTGGATTTCAGTTTCCCTTCCAAACCCAACAAAGTAAAGAATCTGCCCAGCGGCGTGCAGACTGAAAACTACGGAACTAAAAGGAGTCACAGAAACAAAAAAACTTAAAAAAAATGAAAAATAAAAAAGTAAACAACCTTCCTTTAATCGTAAGAATTTAAATTTTCAGCATATTGAGAACAAGGTGCTAACATTCCTGGAAGAAGTGCACGTCTCCTTTCATGCCAGAGTTTTAAACTAAGACCAGCTGACCCAGAGTCGTTCACGGGTTAGAACCCAGATTACGTAAGTTTTGGTAAATAGCGTTTAGCTATTGGGGCCGGTGTGAGGAAAAGTGACCGACCTTGTCTGATGTCATTTCTGATGTCGAACTCCAGGTCTTCCATCATCCGGTTCATCTTCGCCGTGAACTTCTTCTCTTTTCTTCGATAGACGAACACCACGGCTGAAAGCGATCCGACAAACACGTGAAGACAAACGGTCGGACCGAAGCAGAACAAGGACTGACGAACACGGAGCTCTTACCAACAACAATGATGGGGATGAGCAGAAGAACCAGCAGCATGAAGAGCAGGAGTGAAGCGGAATGCTTCAGGCGTTTGAACTGACCTCCATATTGGATCTGTAGAAGATAACAGACAGAATTCTGTTGGATATAAACTGACACAATTTGAACAAGGAAACTGTCAAAACGAATCTTTGTGTCAAACTGTGAGGACTTCCTGAGGACGGGATTCTTTTTTTCCCCCTTCATTCAACCTTTATTTATACAGGCTAGGCCCATTGAGTCTCGGGGACTCATTTACAAGAGAGACCTGAATTTTAAAGAGTGATGACAACAGTGGACAACGACAACAATAGACCATCATAAAGGATGCATTTTTTTAAACAAATGAAAATAAAATGGTAATTAAAAAGAAAAGTAGTGAAAAAAACGGCTAGAATATAAGGCGGTGTAGAAAACTAAAAACAGGAACATGTCTGCATTGGTTCTGGCCAGGAACTTAACAGCTTTTTAAAGCCACTTAGAGAGGTCAAGGTCGAGAGCTTCAGATCTTTTTGCAAGATATTCCAGGAAACAGGAGCAGAGTAGGAGAAGGCCCTTTTGTCTAGTTCAGTCCTCACTGAGGGAACACTGCAGGTAATAATGTCCTGAGAGCGCACGCTGTAGCTGCACTCACGCAGAGACATGTAGGAGGAGATGTATGAAGGCAGCAGAACAAGAAGTGATTTAAAGATGAAAATGTACCAGTGGGAGAGTCTGCGTGAAGTTAATGATGACCAGTTAACCAGTGAATACTGGGTGCAGTGGTGGGTACGATAATCACAGCCAGTTATGAACCTTAGTGCACCATGATAGACAGCATCCAACATCTGCAGGGTTCTTGTAGGAGCGTTCATGTAAATAATGTCACTGTAATCAATGGAGGGAAGGAAAGTCACAGATACAAGGTGTTTCCTAGCATTCAGGGTTAGACAGGATCTGTTTCTGAAAAAGAAACCCAGTTTAACTTTCAGTTTCTTTACCAAGTTTTCCACATGAAGCTTAAAAGAGAGATGTGAGTTGACCAAGATACCCAAATATTTATAGGAATCAACAAACTCAATGGGGACACCATTTGAGGATAAAATCAGAGGAAGAACCGCTGGGACCGACTTCCTGTTTTAAAAAAGCATCCCTTTGGTTTTGTCAGTGTTTAGGACAAGTTTGAGGCGGAACAAATCTGAATGGATGATGTCAAAGGTGGATGGCAAAAGCTGGAAAGCCTTAGCAACTGTTTTAGCTCAACAATAAACAACTGTGTCATCAACATAGAAATGCAAGGATGCATCAGGGATGCTCTGACCTACATAACCTACATAGATTGTAAAGAGGGTGGGTCCTAAGACTGAGCCTTGTGGTACACCATTGTTGACTGTTAAATAACTGGAGGAAGTACCATTATGTTGAACACATTGCCTCCGGTCTGAGAGATAGTTAGAGAACCAACCAATGGTGTGATCTGAGAAACCAATTTCTGAGAGTTTATGACACAAGATGTTCTGATCCACAGTGTCAAAATCTTTAGACAGGTCTAAGAAAAGTGCAGCACAATAATCTTTAGCATCCAGAGCTTCAACAACGTCATTAAAAACCTTCAGTGAAGCAGTGGTTGTGCTGTTGTTTCCTGAAACCAGATTGATGTGGAGGTAAGATGTTAAATGAGTCCAAATACTTTTTGATTTGAGAGTGAACCCCCAAAGCACCTTAGAGGAACAAACGTGAACATCCTGCTTATTTGCTATTTTTGATTCTCAAAATATTTATCAGTTTAAAAACTAATTTCATGAAACTTGGCCAGGATTTGATTTTTAAATATATTTTTAATTGATTTGGAGATGTGACCAAAGCATACAGTCTTTACTCTAAGGCCCAATTTGGTCCCATTGACTCCCATTAAAACCACCTACTACTGACGTACTGTAGTCCTGACATAATATAATGCTTTTATCATGAATAAGTAATAAATCAAACCTCTACCTCCAAAATAAATGGAAAACAGGTTTCGGGTGGGATACAAAACATTCCACTTTGCACCTCAACTTTGGAAAATATTGCATATTTTGTGCTTTATTTATTTGTTTTTAGAAAAAGTTATAAAAATGTGAAAATATAATAAAAACGTTATATCTACAATAAGGTCTGCAGATGTTGTTGTAAGTAAACAAAAACCCCAAAGTGTTTAAGTGTATAATCATTTTAAACATACCTCAAGGGTTAAATCTCACTAAATCTGATTTCTTTTTTTGTATTTTTATTTCTAAATGAAGGTTGTTGAAGAATAAAAATAGTATTTATTGGACAGCATTATGACTGTGCACAACAGTTCTTTCCTCCTGCACACTTTAAAACTGTTAGTCTGTGAGTTTCTGCTTTGAGATTATTTTTTTTAACCATTAGTGGAGATAATCTACACTTTTTTCAAAAATACGCTGTCCTTATCCGTGAAAATGAATTAGATAAGTTGTTAAAATAATTATACAAGCACTCCTCAAAAAAAGAACCTAACTCTGTCTTACATTTCAAAGATGTTGCACAATCTGTTCCCGCTCAAAGTGTGCGTTGGGGACGACTCTCAGCGACTACCACACCAACTTTTAGCTCAATGTCTAACAAAGGTTGCGTCACAGGGACATTTTTGTTGCTGGGTCAATTAGCTGCAGCAGCCATTTTTTATCGTGTTGTCAAAGTCTACCAGTTGCAGGTGCATGTCCAATGATTATGTCCGAATTTCATTAAGGTTCATCCAGTGGTTAGAGATATTTTGCTAACAGACAAACAGGGTCAACTTTAACAGCTTATGCCCAAGTTTTTGGGAAAGGTATTGCAGAATCTGTTTGTGCTCAGTATTGAGGCAACCGTGCACATTTGAGCTCACCGTAGACTTTCTAATGAACCCAACATGCATGTTCTCAGACTGTGAGGAGGAAACGGGAGAACCTGGAGAACCCCACATGAGCGCGATGATCGTATTTCCCAACAGCCTCAGCCTCAGAAGTGAAATTAGAGCATGAACACGGGAAGAACACAGTCCTTGACAAGACGCAAGACATCTGTTCTTGTTCGCGTGGTTGTGGGGCGTTCTTTTTCTTGTGGACGTTTTATAGTTCAGAGAGTAATGGAAGTCCTGGTAAGCCCCTCCCACTGCAGCAGACGTCACACGCCAACAGAATCAACACGGTAACAGCGCGGTTGTCAAAGCGGAGGTTAATTTTCAGTTCACGATGGAGAAGTTGGAAGAAGAATGGTGTTTCTGTTGTTAACCGAAGAGAAGTGATAATTTGCAGATTTATCTTGAAGACGCCACAGTTTGACAGATGGCGACTACCTTCACAAGATTTATTTGACAATCTTTGTAGGTTTTGCTGGAACAGCTGTAAAGATGACCGTACTTCCCTACAGCCTCAGCCAGACATGAAATAACAGCCATGCAGTGCAGCTGCTTTTCAGCATAAACACGCCCACGAAGTTCTGACCAGTCAAACAATGCTTGGCGAGTACCCCTGTGAGGGGAAAGAAGCTCTGCCAGCCCGGAGCTTGTTCTCAGAGCGGGTCCCCGGAGGCCATGCAAGGACAAAAAACACAGTTTTCATCAAACAAGTGCAACAATGAGAACAGGTTTCAATATCCTGCAGTGTATAAATCAGCCTTTATTGTCCAGACTGACTCTTGTTCCTGCTAAATATCTCCAATGTGTTGAGCGTAGATTTTATTAACTGCTAAATGCACATAGCACTTACTTAAATCGTGTTTGGTCGTTGCTTTCTTTTGCACTCTTGAGTTTTTGTTTTATGACTGGTATATTATTTCAGTTTTTTTTTTTTTTTATTAAACTAAGTTTATTATGTAGTATAGTATATAAAGTATATTGATTTTTTTGGTTTTTGAACAAACAAAAGAAAAAGAGAAAATAACATAGAAAAAGGAACAGCCCCCCCCCGCCCCTCCCCACCCCGGATCAGTGAAACATGCACAAACAAATCAAACATGTTCTCAACATACAACATAAATGGCTGCCACATGTTCCAAAATCTTTTAGAAGATCCCTTCAGGTTGTACCCTATTTTTTCCAAATGGATATGTTACATCACCTCCTTTACCCAAAGTACCAGAGGGCGTGGGTCCTTCCATTTACACAGAATTAGCCTTCTGGTCAGAATAGATCCAAAGGCAATCACATCCTTCTCGCACTTGCTGAAGGATGTATCCACAGGGACCACCCCGAATGGCGAGATGAGTGGTGATGGGTGTACAGTTTTTCCACATATCCCAGAGGTGTCAAAAAGTGATTGCCAAAAAGTCTGCAGTTTGGGACAGGTCCAGGACGTATGCAAGAGTGTGGCTGGAGTTTGCAACGGTTGCATGCAGGGTCCAGGTCTGCTTTGATCCTGGACAGCTTGTCTTTGGACCAGTGCAGCCTGTCCACTACCATTAACTGGATTACAACATGTCTCAGGCAAATTGAAGATGAATAAATGTTCTTAATGATCCTTCTCCAGATTGAGTCTGATATGGGTTCCTCCAAGTCCGCTTCCCATTTCAGTTTAAGGGAGTCCAAGCTGGACTCATGGTATGAACTGAGCAGTGTATAAATTTTGTTAAGAGCCTCCTTGATGTCAGGTCTGCATTCCAAAATCTTAGCCCTTTATTTCAGTTTTGACTGGACGTCTAGTTTCCTGATTGCAGCATTTGTTCTGTATTCAATCCAAACTTCCTTGGCCCTTGGTTTTCCTTTGTTTTGTGTAATGTTTCTGTTGGCCATAATTATTTACTGCTCGTTTCTGTGTCGGTTTCCAAGTTCTGTTTTTTCCCCTACATATTTAAGAATTACACGATTCTGCAGTTAGTTGCAAAGTTACTTTTGTTTTATCTGTCCATTCAGAACCATTCTAAGGTTCTACTTAATCACACAATCATTAAATTTATACTAACTGTTACAATAATTCGGAAAAAAATACAGAATTTAGGAATTACCTGTAACTCCCTGAAGTTAGTGCTGTGTGTTCCTGAGATTTCACAAACGAAAGAGTCGGTTTTATTGCTGCTTTCTTTCTCTTTCATGATGCAGGGATGTCGTTTCCCATCCTGGATGCCCCAAACCAACAGCTCTCCTGTTGTCATATTCAGTTTATCTGGATTTTTCTAAAAGAACAAATCAATTTCTTAAATATTTATGTAAATTCATAACGATCAGTGAGGGCCTTAAAGGAAAGTCTTACCTGAATAGTGATGCGGATGTCATTTCCTGTCCTCACAACTGTGAAGCCGGTAAACTCCGGGTCTGGATAGTAGGAGATTTTTGTGGGGCAGGTCAGCGTCTGATTGGCTACTTTCAAAAATACAACGTTGCCGGAACTCTGTGCGTTTTCAGCTGCAGGGGTTTCATAGGTGAGACTCTGCAAACAATTTAAAAACACCTTTTATTTGACCAGCAGAACTTTTTTCTGTTATGACCGGTAATCTGCCATCCTCTAGACGTCCTCTCTTGTGGTGTTCCACAGGGCTCTGTTCTTGGTCCTCTCCTGTTGTCTTTTTATACTGTCTCTAGAATCAGTTATAGCCAGGCACCATTTTTTTTTCACAGTTTTGCAGATGACTTACAGATTTATCCATGAAGCAGAGGTAGTGACTTTCAAACTACTTTTCCTGACTGCATCGCTGTCATTAAACAGTGGCCTACACAAAACTTGCTGTTTTTAAATGAAGGAAAGATGGAGAACATTTTTGGTGATGATGCTTCTTGTAACTTTGGTACTCTGATGTTCAAGTTTAGACCCAAAGTTAAAAATACAGTGAATGAATTTTGATAAGGACTGGAAATTTGATAAACAAATAGCCTCTGAAGCCAAGGCCAGCCTTTTACAGTTACGTCTTGTAGCTAAAGTCAAGCTTATTTAAATTATCCTGACTAGACTATTCATGATTTTATCATTTTGATGTTTGACTATTGTACTACTCTTTATTGCTGCTGCTCTGCAGGCTTACCTTACAGCTGCTGATCGTGGGAAGAAAAAATTTCAGTGGGGCGTGGCCGTGTGTGACCCCTTCCACAAAATTCAGGTGGGTCCCATTAATTGTGATGTTTCTCTTCCCACTGCAAAATTCAGGGAATAAAGACCTGAACATACTGTACATGTAAGTTTGAACCAAGTTAAATAAAACAAGTAGTAAAACAAAAAATACGCTGTTTATCATCTTTTTCACAAAAAAGTGGTATACATTGTTTGCCACACAAAAGGAACTGTGGCATGTTTTTTAAATTACATTCTCAATCTTGTACATGATGTAGATCTTACTTAAATTATGGTGTTGAGGTGTGGAAAATACATTAAAAAAATATAATGTGGAAAAGGCCCATCACAACAGTCAATAAGGGTGAAAGCAAAGCCAACAGGAACTTTTTCATTTTTAAATCAAAATCCATGACATTTTGGGATGTGATTAATCTCAAAATAGCAGAAATATTCTCAAAGAAAAATTTAGATGCAAAAAAAAACAAAGAAATAATGTTTTCAGAGGGAGGAGGGGGACGTGATTTAAAAAATGCCATCTATCAGGAAATCCTTTAAAGTTTTGTGGTTCAAACTCAACTCAAAATATGAAACAGTTTCACAAAAACTGAAAAATCTGTTTAAAATAGCAAAATATCTATTTTTTTATTTTATTTTTTTAATACAAAGCTGAAAATTTGCTTTTGAATCTCTAGTAATGCATTGCTAAAAAAAGGGAATATAGTCAGATGGTTTTGCTTCTTTGTGTTTAAAAACAAAAAATAACGTGTTAAAGTTGTTGAATTTGAATATACTGCAAAATATCCTGATGCATGCTCAATAATCCAGGTAGAAAAATCCAAAAAAGTTCAATCTGGTCCTCTGGACATTCAAAAAAAAAAAAAAACAAAGCAAAAAAAATATAGAAACGTTTCGTCTCTCATCCGAGAGACTTCCTCAGTCTGAGGTGCTGTTTTCAGCTCAGTCTCTTAAATAGCACCTTCTCAGAGTGGATCAACCAGTTTGCTGCTGACAACCAAAACCAGCTGATCACATGCTCAAGAAGGACCATCAGCCTAACAATGGATCATTAGCACACTGATGGCTGTTTACTGTTCACAGAGGGCTGAGTGATACTAGCAATCACAGCATTGTAAGAGGGGGACAGTTGCACCCGGAGGCCTCCACCCCTGTTTAATGATGGACGGTTTCTTTTCACAAAGATGGCCTCCTTTACTCCTCTCTCAAACCATCGTTCCTCTCTGTCCAGGATGTGAACATCTTCATCCCTGAAAGAGTGACCTCTGGCCTCGAGATGAGTGTAGACTGCAGAGTCCTGGCCTGATGATGTTGATCTTCTGTGCTGGTCCATCTTTTTGGCCAGTGGCTGTTTAGTTTCCCCGATGTAAGACTGCTCACCCTCCTGACACTGAACAGCATACACAATATTACTCTGTTTGTGCCGGGGGACTGGATCTTTGGGATGAACCAGTCTTTAATGTATTTTGGGGTTTAAAAGCCACTGGGACGTTATGTTTAGAAAATAAACGTCTCAGTTTCTCTGATACTCCCTCAACATCTGGAATGACCACTGGTCTGGGAGTGGGTTCCTCCTTTTCACCTGTTGGCTGACTGGAGTCCTGTTTGGGTTTCTTCTCTGCTTTCAGGAAGGCCCAGTTAGGATATCCACATTGCTCTAGAGCCTGTCTTGTGTGGGATTTCTCTTTCTGCCTGGCTCCTGAGCTAGTGGGGACGCTGTCTGCTCTGTGGTACAGAGTCCTGATGACTCCTAACTTGTGCTCCAAAGGGTGATGGGAGTCAAACTGCAAATACTGGTCTGTGTGGGTGGGTTTGCGGTACACCTCGGTTTGCAAAAGTCCTCTATCAGAGACTGAGACCTCACAGTCCAAGAAAGCCAACCTGCCATTTTTTTCATCTTCTCGTGTGAACTTGATGTATTTATCCACAGAGTTGATGTGGTCAGTAAAATGTTGGACTTCCTGAGATTTGATTTTAACCCAGGTGTCGTCAACATATCTGAACCAATGACTTGGTGGTGTCCCTGAAAAGACGTCAAGGCTCTCTTTTCTACCTCCTCCATGTACAGGTTGGCAACAATAGGAGAAACTGGAGACCCCATAGCACACCCATGTTTCTGCCTATAATATTGCTCCCCATATGTGAAGTAGGTTGACTGCAGGCACAGTTTCAAGAGTTGACACAGTTGTTCTGTGGAAAGCGTGGTCCTGCTGCTCAGAGTGGTGTCTGATTTTAATCTTAAACTGACCACCTCTACTGCATCATACAGTATAGTACAGTATACAGTATATACTGCAAAAGTTGAAAAAAGGTGTAAACAAACAAGTAATGGGGTAGGAATAGACACGTTTGTACTTCTGACTTCTATTTGGCCAGTTTTAGTATTAGGCCACTGTTTTCATCAGAAATCTTTGCTCCAATCAGATTGAACTGCGACACATTCAATGGATGCTATTAAAGAGGTTGGAACACCGTATAATGCTTTAACCACGGTAATGTTCGGCCAGGTCTCTCTTGTAAATGAGTCCCAGAGGCTTAATGGGATTAACCTGTATAAATAAAGGTTGAATGAATGTTAGCAATAAATGAAGATGGAATAAATACAAATAGACATTTTATCTCTTAATTTCTCATACTACTTGATCAGAACTTGACTAAACTTTTAAAGAGAACTATTAGGACTCATACTGTGGTGTTCAAATGTACAAGGGTACTTTCAGTGGCTGCATCAAAAAAAGGAAGTATTGAAAAACAGCTTTTAGGAAGCGACAACCCTCCACTTGTAACTGTGACAGTTACTAAAACCGTTTCCTTGAACTAACTTCAGTGAAATCTGTGGACGATTTCAAAACGGATAGAAAATGAGTGTTCATGTTTCTGAAGTCCTTTGGAGACAATAACACTGAAAGTTCTGACAGAAGGAACTGAAATATCACAAGAAACTGAAATTAATTCAAACTTACCTTACAATTTAGGTGAAAAAAAAAAAAGGGGGGGGATAGCACATGTTTACCTGTTTATTAATGTTTATTTCTGCCTATAATAGTGAAAAGAAGAGCGTTTCCACCAAAATAAAAACAGAAGAAAAAAAAATCCAAACAGTGGCTCTAACATCTGTTTCATCTTAGGAACAGCAAGGCTGAACAATTTGGAATTTGTACATTTGCAATCAGATTAAAAAGAAATAAACAAAAAGATGGTCGTAAGCCATACAGCCCAATATTTCCCGTGCACAGTCCTGGTACTTAAAGGAAGAGAACAAGGTAAGATTGGAGTAAAGAATAAGGTAATGCACTGGGGAAATACTGTGTCAAGTCAAGTCACATTTATTTATATAGCACATTTAAAACAGTAACCGTTATCAAAGTGATTACCAAAAATGATTGTAGCATCAAATATTAAGATATATGAATAAAAGCATAAAAACATGAAATGTAATTAGAAACAATGAAATACTAAATCAAATCACCCTGCGTTAAATGCCAATGAGTACAGATGTGTCAGTGAGTACAGATGTGTCAGTGAGTACAGAT